ATCAGGACCTGAATGTCATCAGAGTTTGATCATGGAAGCAAATGTGAACATTCACACTGAGAAATCATGGAAATGTGGGGATTGTGGGAAGGGGTTCAATTACCCATCCCAGCTGGAAATTCATCGACGCAGTCACACTGGGGAGAGGCCGTTCATCTGCCCTGAGTGTTTAAAGGGATTCACTCGATCATCCCACCTTCTGGAACACCAGCGAGTTCACACAGGGGAGAGGCCATTCACTTGCTCTGAATGTGGGAAGGGATACACTCAGTCATCACACCTACTGGAACACCAGCGAGTTCACACTGATGAGAGACCTTTTAAGTGCCCAGATTGTGGGAAGTGCTATAAATGTTCTGGAGAATTGATGTCCCATCAGCGTATTCATTCTGACGAGAGACCGTTCAGGTGCTCTCACTGTGGGTCTGGCTTCAGGCGATCATCACAGCTCACTGTACACCAGCGAGTTCACACCGGGGAGAGACCATTCAGCTGCTCAATGTGTGGGAAAGGATTCGCTCACTCATCCGATCTGCTGAGACACCAGCAAGTTCACTCTGAAGAGAGACCTTTTAAATGCCCAGACTGTGGGAAATACTACAAAAGTTCTCGAGAACTGATGTCCCATCAACGTGTTCACACTGACGAGAGACCGTTCAGCTGCTCTCACTGTGGAAGTGCATTCAGACGAATGTCTGACCTCACTGTACACCAGCGCTCTCACACGGGAGAGAAGCCATTTACATGCTTCAAATGTGGAAAGGGATTCACCAGGTCATCTAACCTGATGAAACACCGGCGAGTTCACAAGTGACTAAAGTGATTGGGTCTTGCTGCAGGTCACATCCTGTGGCACGCTCCAGATAAAAGTCAAATACATCAGCTTTGTATTCAAGACACAATGTATCAAGTTTTTACTACTTCCACCACAAGTTAATTAATTTTGATGGGCTCTCCCTTTCCCCTATCTTCTCCATCGCTGTCCCCAACACCACCAGTGATAAGCTCATGGATTGTATCAGTCTTTGTGTTTGAGTGGCAGTCTTATGTGTGGTTGACTGTATACGTAAGAGAGGGAGAATTGTCTGTGTGTGTGGGTGAATTTCTGTGTCTGTGAGAGCATATGCCTTTCTGTCTGTGTATGGCTGCATGTATGTGAGACAGTGTTGTCAATATGCATGTGTGTGGGTGGGTGTATGTCTCTGAGAATGTGTGTAAGTCTATGTCTGTGACAGTGTGTGCTTCTCTCTGTGTGTGGGACGCTATTTATGCAAGCGACTGTGTCGGTCCCTTTGTGTGGGTTGCTGTCTGTGTGGCTGGTTTTGTGTGTGTGTGTGTGTGTGTGTCGGTCTTTGTGGTGGGTAGATATCTGTGTATGTCACAGTGTGTCTGTCAGTCACTATATATAGGTGACTGTCAGTGTGTGTCAGTCTGTGTGTGTGGTTGGTTGACTGCATGTATGAGTGTATGTGTTATACTGTATCTGTAATTATGGCTGCTGCTTCTTGAGGGCTTCTCTCCATGAACAGACAACATTCCTTCTTTGAAGATCCCTCAGTGATTTGGAATGATAACATTCTGAGATTCTTCATCCAGGGTGAAACCACAGGCTGACTGTGTGCTGTGTGAAACATGATATCAACCAAGCCTCACTTCTCCTGGAACCTCTTCCCCTTAATTCCTTGTGTACATCATCCTCAATCAGGCCCATGGTCTCTACTTTAAATTTTTCCATCAGTTTTGCTGTTAAACAGCAATGGGATTGCTACTATCACAGGAATCAGTTTTGATTATCTCCATTCGCATCCGGGTTGCACGATGGCTTTCTTAGCACTGATGCCTCACAACACCAGGGACCATTCCAGCCTTGGGTGACTGTCTGCGGAGTTTGCATCTTCTCCCTCTGTCCACATAGGTTTCCTCCCACAGTCCAAAGACGTGCAGGTTGGGTGGATTGGCCATGTTAATTTGCCCATCGTGTCCAGAGATGTGTAGGTTAAATGGGTTGGACATGGGAATGCAGGGTTACGGAATAGGTTAGGGGAGTGGGTCTGGGTGGGATGCTCTTCAGAGTGTTGGTGCAGATTCAATGGGGCGAATGGCCTGCTTCCACACTGTAGAGTTCCATGATCTGAGCTCCAAATTTTACTGTAATTAGTCAAGAATGAAAACATATTATTTGCCACCTTTAATCCTGATTGATCACCGCCCCCCCCGCACACAACACACACACACACTTTTCAGTCTGTGTCTATCTAAACAAGGACAAGATTCCCCTGTACCGGGACTCCCTTGTCCGCTCCACACTCCCCTCCAGCCCCACCGCATCTGGCACTTTTCCCTGTAACCGCAGGAAGTGCTACACCTGCCCCTACACCCCCATCCCAGGCCCCAAGAAGACTTTCCACATCAAGCAGATGTTCACCTGCACATCTGCTAATGTGGTATACTGTATCCGCTGTTCCCGTTGTGGCCTCCTCTACATCGGGGAAACCAAGCACAGGCTTGGAAACCGCTTTGCAGAACACCTATGCTCGGTTCGCACTAAACAACTGCGCCTCCCAGTCGCGAACCATTTCAACTGCCCCTCCCATGTCCATCCTGGGCCTCCTGCAGTGCCACAACGATGCCACCTGAAGGTTACAGGAAGAGCAACTCATATTCCACTTGGGACCCTGCAACCCAATGGTATCAATGTGGACTTCACAAGCTTCAAAATCTCCCCTCCCCCGCCGCATCCCAAAACCAGCCCATCTTGTCCCCGCCTCCCTAACCTGTCCTTCCTCCCACCTCAAGCCCCACCCCCATCTCCTACCTACTAACCTCATCCCGCCCCCTTGACCTGTCCGTCCTCCCTGGACTGACCTATCTCCTCCCTAACTCCCCACCTACACTCACCTTTACTGGCTCCATCCCCGCCTCTTTGACCTGTCTGTCTCCTCTCCACCTATCTTCTCCTCTATCCATCTTCTATCCGCCTCCCCTTCTCTCCCTATTTATTTCAGAACCCCCTCCCTCATTTCTGAAGAAGGGTCTAGGCCCGAAACGTCAGCCTTCCTGCTCCTCTGATGCTGCTTGGCCTGCTGTGTTCATCCAGCTCTACACCTTGTTATCCAAGATTCTCTCCACCTGGTCCGCACTCTGATGCAGGCTCAGCCCCGCCCCTCATTCAGTCCCATTGTTTGGAGAACAAACCGCGCCAGATCTGTTCTCCAGTTCCGCCCATTTTTGTTTCTATTGGTCCGCAATCGCCGTCAATCAGTCGGGCCCGTTGAAATTGGAGCATGCGCTGTGCGTGGCAGGAGGCCTAACCAGCACATGCGCAGTTGCCCTCTTTTTTTTAGGTCGTCGATGGTCACTGTCTTGTTTGTTAGAATCCACAAACGGTGAGGGTCAGGCAGATCGGTGAAACCAATGGACCGGGCAGTGGTTAGGCGGAGAGGCTTCAGGAACATCTTGTGTCAGCCGGAAAACTCGAGAGAAAACTCTCCGGCTGGCCTGTTAGCACCGAAAGGGAAGATGATTCCAGGCTTCCTTCTCGCCATGGGCTCTGGGAGCGGTCGCCATTTTTGTTGGGGGCACTGGGCAGCAGTAAGCATGCGTGGGCGCGTCGGGGCCAATGTTTCGAATGACTGGGAGGAGCTTGCTACCCATGGTTCAGAATGGAGACCACGTGTCAATCTAACTGCATCAGCCTTTCACACTCAATGTCTTATTGATGAGGCAGAGCAGCTACACAGAAAGGAAACAAAGGAGACAAATCAGTTGTCCATATTCCTGTCATTTCATGCGACATCCCGTGCCCAAAGATTTGTGGTTCTGTTCAGTCACATGAAGATCCAGGGCAGCAACTCCCAATCCTGAGTAGATGTCATCCTCTAATCGAGGGACTGCTGACCAAGACAAGGGGCAATGTGCAACAGGGCACATGCATGATCATTCTGGGCCAATAGGGCAGAAAGTTGTGAACTTCTATCCTTGGCTGATTATAGTCATAGAACCATACAGCTCGGAAACAGGCCCTTTGGTCCAACCAGTCCATGCTGACCATAATCCCAAACATTTCATGTACTTACCAAAATGTCTTTTAAATGTTGTAACTGTACCTGCATCCACCACTTCCTCTGGAAGTTCATTCCACTCTCTGGGGAAAAAAAGTCCTCTTGTGTCTTTTTAAATCTTTCTCCTCTCACTTTAAAAATACGTCCCCTAGTCTTGAAATTTCCAACCCTAAGAAAAAGACACCTGCCATTCACCTTATCTATACCTCTTGTGATTTTATAAACATCTGTAAGGTCACCTGTCAACCTGCTGCACTCCAGTGAAAAAAGTTCCATCCTATCCACCTTCTCTTATAACTCGCACCTTCCATTCCTGGTAACATTCCGGTAAATCTCTTCTGAACCTTCTCCAGCTTAATAATATCATTCTTGTAACAGGGTGACCAGAATTGGACACAGTACTCCAGAACAGGCCTCACCAATGCCATGTACAATCTCAATTGATTTTGGAAAGTTGATTGATTTTGGAAACTTCTTTTACAGAATATTAAAAGAAGATTTGAAGACGGAAACTCAAACCAAACGTCATATCAAAAATTTGACAGGATTATGTGAGTGTAAGTATTTATTTCCTGGTCATTACAAGTTGTTGCATAAAATTTATCCCCTAAATCTTTCCCCCTTCCACAAGTAAATCTTGCCCAAAATCATAGATCTGTGTCTGTAATTTTTTTCATAATCTGCCAACAAAAAAAATACTTTTATCTATTTTATATAACACCATGAAAATCTCTAAATTCTGTCAAATCTCCTCTCAATGTCCTTTGCCATGAGGAGAACTATCCAAATTTCTGAAAACTCATGACTCCCTAATGCCTGTCCACTATCTAATCTTTCCTCATAGCTCAGACCCTCCAGCCCAGGCAGCATCCAATTTTCCACTCAGCTGAAGGGAATAGCTTCTTTTTATCTAGCTTATAGAAACTTGTCATAAAAGTGTGCACCTCTGTCAAATGTCATCTCAACCTCTTTCTTCAGAGAAAGCAACCTGACTCTCATGAATTCAACATTGCAATGAGAATCCTTCACCATCAACCATCGGATAAATTCTGCACCGCAGGTGGAATCAAACTCATGTTGCAGGCAGCAGTGCCAACCACTGAGCCACCGTGCTGCCCTAACTTCTACCGACTGTGTTTAAATAATGATTCCATTGCTGCTGTCTTACCAGCTTTATTTTCCCATTGAATCTTTTGGAGTCAGGACGTGTTTTACCTGTAGTTCATTTCTCTTCTGCTTTTGAGTTTATGTTGAGCATAAAATTCTGCACCATTTTTTATTCACCGTAATTCATTCTGCGTGCCCTGGAACATTTTTTCTCTACCCACAGATGTTGCCCAACCTGCTGAGTATTTCCAGCACTTTCTGTTTTTATGTCAGAACTCTAGCAGCTGCAGTAGTTTGCTATTATTGCAGGCATTGCTAACTGAATCAAGTCTAGAAACACAGACACAGCAATTTTAGAGCAGGCTTGTACCAAGGTGGGTGTTTATTGCAGAATATGTTCCCTGGTCTCCTGTGTATGTCCTTATTCATCAAGTCATATTGAGTTGAGGAGTATTAGGTCAGCCATGATCTCATTGAATGACAGAGCAGTCTCAATGGGCTGAATGGCCTGCTTCTGCTCCTCAGTCTCACTAAAGTTTAGTGATTACAATATGAAGGCAGGCTATTTAGCTCATCCAACCACGCTGGATCTCTGCAAGTGCAAATCAGCTTGTCCCACTCCCTTGCTCTTTCATGAACAAGACCAGCAGATATTACCAATACCCAGTGGCATCTGGAGAACACGATACTTGACCTTCATGAAGCTCTGCAGCCCATGTAGTGAAGGTGTTCCCACAATGCTGCTAGGTAAGGAGTTACAGGTTACATTTTCAGGACTGATTAAAGGAATGATGATATACTCCCAGATCAACAACAGCTGTGGAGTGGCATGGTGGCTCAGTGGTTAGCACTGCTGCCTCACGGCACCAGGGACCTGGATTCAGTTTCACCCTTGACTGTGTGGAGTTTGTACATTCTCCCCGTGTCTGTATGGGTTTCCTCTGGGTGCTCCAGTTTCCTCCCCCAGTCTGAAGATGTGCAGGTTGGCCATGCTACATTGCCCATAGTGTCGAGGGTATGTGTGGACTAGCCATGGTAAATGCAGGGTTACAGGGATAGGATATGGGGGTGTGTCTGGATGGGATGCTCTTCACAGGATCATTGTGGGCTTGATGGGCTAAACGGCCTGCTTCCACACTGTAGGGATTCTATGATAACCATTTGTATTTTTATACATTCTTAATCTAATAGAATGTTTCAAGCCCTGTCAGATGCATGTTAGAAAACAACATTTGAAGGCAACATTTACACAAAAGAACATATTGGGTCAGATGAGGGGGTGGAGCTTGAAGGGTTGGGAGAATCTGTCAGAGTTCTGGTTTTGTTGCAGACACACAAAATCCCTCTCCTTGCTCTCTCTCTCTCTCTCTCTACTTTCTCTGTCACTGTCTGTCTATGTCTCTCTCTCTCTACTCCCTGAGGCCAGATTCTAATATAGGTTCAGGTAAGGTGGCAGGTTCCTTTCCCAGAAGGACATTACTGAACCAGCTGGTTTTACAGCAATCCAACAGCTTTAATTGTCACACACTCCTAGTGCCAGCCCCATAAATTACCAGATTCATTCATCTCAATTTCACAAACAGGCTTTATATTTTCTGACTTCCTGTTTTAAATCAGTTTCATAGGGCATTAAAGGAGAAGGATTTGCAGTCTGGAAACTGAAACCAAATATCACATCAGGATCTGATGTAGCCTGAATATCATCAGATTTTGAACATGGAAGGCAAAAGCAGCGTTCCCCGTGGGAAGAAACCATACATGTGTTCTGCTTGTGGTCGTGGTTTTAACCAATCATCCAGCCTGTCAGAACATAAATGTAGTCACAACAGGCAGAAACCTTGGACATGTGGTGACTGTGGGAAAGGATTCATTTCCCCATCGAGGCTGGAAACCCATCGTCGCATTCACACTGGGGAGAGGCCATTTGCCTGCACTGAATGTGGGAAGGGATTCACTCAGTTATCCAACCTGCTGAGACACCAGCGAGTTCACACTGACGAGAGACCATTTAAATGCCCAGAGTGTGGGAAGTGCTATAAAAGTTCTGGGGAACTGATTTGCCATCAACGTGTTCACACCGATGAGAGACCGTTCAAGTGCTCTCACTGTGGAACTGGGTTCAGATGGTCATCTCAACTCATTGAACACCAGCGAGTTCACACTGGGGAGAGGCCATTCACGTGCTCCAAGTGTGGGAAAGGTTTCACTCATTTATCCAACCTCCAGACACACCAGCGTGTCCACATTGGAGAGAAACCGTTCACTTGCTCTGACTGTGGGAAGGGATTCACTCAATTATCCCACCTACTCACGCACCAGCGAGTCCACACTGGGGAGAGGCCATTCACCTGCTCCGAGTGTGGGAAGGGGTTCACTGCCTCATCCATCCTTATGGCGCATCAGCGGGTTCACACCGATGAGACCCCGTTCAGGTGCTCTCAATGTGGGACTGGGTTCAAACACTCATCAAACCTCACTGTACACCAGAGAGTTCACAGTGGGGAGAGGCCATTCACCTGCGCCAAGTGCGGGAAGGGATTCACTCAGTCCTCTCACTTGCTGACACACCAGCGGGTTCACACTGGAGAGAGACCATTCACCTGTTCCAAGTGTGGGAAGGGATTTACCTGTTCATCCCACCTACTGAGGCACCAGCGAGTTCACGAGTAACTGCAATGATTGGATGATGTTAATTCAGACACTAGAATGGTTTAATGTTGATAAGGAAGGGCTGTTGGATCTGATGGCTGCCCTTAAACTTAAGGCACTGGGACTGGATGAGATGTAACCAATGACACTGAGAGTAAGCAAGGGTTTAAACTGGAGAGGCTGCAGCCATAATTTTTCAATCTTCCTTACACTTGGGTGGTTCCAGAGGACTGAAAAAATGCAAATTCTTTGTTATCCCCTTGTCCAACAATGAATGTAGAGACAAGCCCCGCAGGTACAGGTTGATCAGGTTAATTTTGTTGGTTGGGAAACTTTTAGAAGTACGCATTTCAGGTCAAAGTAACATGGAGCATTGCTGGTTAATTAGGGAGACTCATGAATTTCTTAGGGCAAAATCACATTTAACCAACTTGCTGGAGTCTTTCGAAGAGGTAACCGTGTGTTGAAGAGGGCATTGCTATTGATGCGGTGTACATGGGCTTATGTGCAAACTTAGAGCTGATGAATTAAGAGCGGCAGTAACAACATGGATACAGAACTGGCTGAGTGGGAGGAAACTGACAGTAGTGTTTCACGTGTGTTTTACAAGCTGCAGGAACGTTTGGAGTGGAGTTCTCCAAGGGTCAGTATTGAGACATTTGTTTTTTCATAGATAGTCATAAATTGATTATAAAAAAACCTCAATGTATTAAACAGCCCAACCATCATTAAATATAAATACGATTAATGCTATAATCATGTGATTTGACCTAGCAGTAAGCTTCCAAAAATTTCTTCAGAAGTCCCCAAGTCAGCAGGACAATCAACAGCTTATGTACCTCCTAAGGTGACTGGAAATGTTAATTGTGATATAAGCTGCCATAAGACAGATTGTCCCCAATGAAAACACCAAACGCAAAAGAATTGTAAGTTATCTGTCTCCTGTAAGATGTTAATAGCTTTACTAAATCTCTGAGATTGTCCAATATTAGTTGCTTATTTGCATTGCGAGACTTTGTCTTGATGGTAAGTGTTCCACTCCTACTGCCACCATCCCTAAAAGAAAGGGCTTCGTCACATGATTCCCATGTTGCTGAACTCACATGCCTTCCACAGTTTTGAAATAGCTGTCAGTAAAATGGTCAATGTTGCTTCATACAGCATCTATTGTTGATAGCCAAACTCTTAACCCCAGTGATGAAGGTAGAACTTCTCACCTGTAAAAAGCAGCCAGCAATCAGTATTTGTGCTCTTTGCAAGTACTTCCACTGAAATGGCAAAGTAGAATTTACATCTCAGCACTATTCCTCAGATAACATTCAAGGACATTTTAATGGGAATAAACTGTTTACAGTTCACAAACTGCAGGCTAGCCAACTAACTGCTCTCACAAAGGAATTCCAGACTCCTAACCCCAAACTACAGACATTGATAGACTGCTGTGCCTCAGTTGTGTTTGTATTTAATTTGTTGCTAATTGACAAATGTCTTTATTCTTTTTGATTTGTATCTCCTCTTGCATGTTTTTGATTGTGCCGGTGTTGTGAATTATCCCCTCTCTGGCATCTGAGAGTATGTCAAATAAAATTTCATTCTAGTTTAACGTTACATCAGTGTTGCTGAAGTCCTTACACAGTGAAGGCCCACAACCAGAAGGAAAGGGAAACTAAACCACTTCAGCTTAAAAGCAGGGGAAAGTAGTTAAGTCACAGTCTGCTTCAGACATATGGTGAAGATATGGAAAGAAACTAGCTTCAAAACTTGCAAACCATGTGTAACACATTAAAAAGCAAAATTTATCGACGTCAGTCCGGGATAGCAATTCTCTTTGACCAGCCAAATTGTTCCAATGCAGCTACAACATCTTCCCATCAATGCAGAAAATTACCCAGGCGTGTCTAGTACAGACAAGAGGCAGGACATAACCAACAAGAACAGAAGTTGCTGGAAAAGCTCAGGAGGTCTGGCAGCATCTGTGAAGAGAAATCAGTGTTAACATTTCAGGTCCGGTGACCCTTCCTTAGAACATGTCCAGTCCAGCCAATTACTGTCTCATCGGTCTAATGCCAGTCATCAGCAAACTTATGATAAGTCAATTGATGGTGCTATAAAGCAGCACTTACACTGCAATAACCTGCTCACTGATTCTCAGTTTGGGTTCTGCCAGGGCCACTTAACTCCTGACCCCATTTCAGCCTCGGTCCCAACATGGTCTAGAGGAATGAACTCCAGAGGTGAGGTGAGAGCGACTGCTTTTAACGTCAGAGATGAATTTGACTTCAAAAAACAAAACTGATTGCATTATATTCAGCACCATTTCCAACTCCTCATATGTCCCTGAGGATGAAGAATTGGATAAGATTCTGAATTGGATTAAAGACAGGCACATGACATTCAGCCACACAAATGTCCATATCTAACAAGAGACAATCTAACCATCTCCGATTGACACAGAGTTGCATTACCATCACCGAACTCCCCACCATTTGTATCCTGGGCTTACCATTAACCAGAAACTGAATGGGACCAACCAAATAACATCAGTGGCTGCAAGAGCAGGTCAGATGTTTGAAGTTCTGCAACAAGTAATGCACCTAATTCCCCAAAGCCTGTCCACGGTTTCCAAGGCACAAGTCAGGAGAGTGAGGGAATACTCCCATTTCTCTGAATAAGTGTAGCACCAATGACATTCCAGAAGCTTGACACAATCCAGGACAAAGCAGCCCACAAAAGCAGAAGGGAGAGAAAGAATAAAAAAAAAAGAAGAAAAAATGCAAGAGAGATAGAAGAAAAAGAGAGAGAAAGAGCAGAAAGGGAGAAAAAGAACAATAGAGAGAGAAAGAAGAAAGAGAGATAGAAAAATGGAAGAATTAAGAAAAAGAGAGAAATAAGAAAGAAAGAGAGAAGAAATATAGAGAGAGTGAAAGACAAGAAAGAGAAAGAGAGTGACAGAAGAAAAAGAGGAAAAGATAAATAAGAGAGAGAAGAAAGAGAGTTAGGCAAAGAAGAGTAAGGGAGAGGAGGAATAAAAAGAGACAGAGAGAGGGAAGAACAAAAATAGAGAGACAGTTAGTAGAAAAAGAGACAGAAAGAAGAAAAAGACAGTGAGAAAGATGAAAAAGACGAAGAGAAATGGAAAGAAGCAAAACAGAGAAAGAAAAAAAAAGAAGAAAAAGAGAGACAGAGAGGGAGAAAGAAGAAAAATAGAGAGAAGAAAAAAGGAGAGAAAAAAGAAAAAGAGAGACAGAAGAAAAAGAGAGGGAGAAAGAAGAAAAACAGTGAGACAGAAGACTAAGAGAGAGAGAAAGAAGAGAAAGGGAGTGAGAAGGATGAAAAGGAGAGAGAGAAAGTAGGAAAACAGAGAAGGAAAGGAGATAGAAAGAAGAAAAAGAGAGAGAGAAAGAAGTAAAAGAGAGAACGAACAAAGAGAGAGAGAGTGAAGGAAAAGAGAGAAAGAAGAAAAAAGAGAGAGGGAAAGCTGAAAAAGAGAGAGCGAAAGATGAAAAAGGGAGAGAAAGAATAAAAAGAAATGGAGAGAAAAAGAAGAATAAGAGAGATAGAGGAAGAAGAAAAAGAGAGAGAGTATGCACAAAAAAGACGAAGAGAGAAAGAAGAAAAAGACGAGAGAGAAAAAGAAGAAAACGAGAAAGCGGAATGTGAAGGAAACAAACAGAAGTCAAAGAGAGAGAAAGAAGAAAAAGGGAGAGAAAGAAGAATCAAATGTCAGAGAGAGAGTAGAGAGTGACACAGAAGAAAAAGAGAGAGAAAAATGAGAAAGAATGAGAAAAAGAAAAATGGAGAGAGAAAAAGAAAGAGAGAGAAAGAAAGAAGAAATTTAGAGAGAGACACAGAAGAAAAAGAGAGAGAAAGAAAAAATAGAGAGTGATAGATGAAAAAGGGAGAGAAAAAATAAAAAGACACACAGAGAAAGAAGAACAAGAGAGAGCGAGGAAGAAGAAATAGCGAGAGAGACAAAACAAGAAAAAGAGGAAGAAAGAAAGAATAAAAAGATAGAGGGAGCAGAAAGGGAGAGAGAGAAAGATGAAAAAGAGAGAGACGTTGACAAAAGAAAAAGAGAAAGAGAGAAAGTAGAAAAACAGAGAGAGAAGAATAAAAGCGAGGGAAAGAAGAAAATGGGAGAGAAAGAATAAAAAGAGTCAGAGAGAGGAGAAATTTAGAGAGAGAAACAGAAGAAAAAGTGGGACAGAAAGAAGAGAGAGAGAAAGAAGAAAAATAGAGACAGAGAGAAGAAAGAGAGAGAGAGAAAGAAGAAATTTAGAGAGAGACACAGAAGGAGAAGAGAGAGAAAGAAGAAAAGAGAGAGAAGGAAAGCAGAAAAAGAGAGAGAAAGATGAAAAAGGGAAAGAAATAATAAAAAGACACACAGAGAAAGAAGAATAAGAGAGCTAGAGGAAAAAGAAATAGACAGAGAGACAACACAAGAAAAAGAGGAAGAGAGAAGGAAGAAAAAGAGAGAGAAAGACAAAAAGAGAGAAAAGGAGGACAAAGTGAGAAAGAAAGATGAAAAATCGAGAAAAAGAAAAAAAATCGTGAAAAATAAAAAGAGGGAAAGAAGAAAGAGAGAAGAAAAAGCGAGACAGAAAGAAGAAAAATTGAGAGATAATGGAAAAAGAGACAGACAAAGAAAATAGAGGCAAAGAAGAAAAAGAGAGAGTGAGACAGAAGAATAAAAGAGAGCAAGAGAAAGAAGAGAAAGAAAGTGAGAAAGATGAAAAAGACAGAAAGAACGAAAAGAGAGGGAAGAAAAGGAGACGGAGAGAAAGGAGAAAAACAGAGAGAATTAAAAGAGAGAACGATGAAAGGGAGAGAGAGCAAAGAAAGAGGGAAAGAAAAAAGAATAAGTGGGTGAGAGAAAGAAAAAAGAGGGAATGAATAAAGAGAGAGAGTAGAAAAAGAGAGAGATAGAAGTAAAATAGAGAAAGAAAAGAAAGAGAATAAAGATAGAGACAAATTAAAAAAGAGAGCAAAACAAGAATAAGAGGGAGAGAGAAAGAAGAAAAAGAAAGAGAGAATGTAGAAAAAGAGAGAAAGATGGAAGAGAGAGAGAAGAACAGGAGGGAGAGATAAAGCTAAAAAAGAGAGATAGTAAGAAGAAAAAGAGAGGGAGAAGGAAGAAAAAGAGAAAGAACGAAGACAGAGTGAGAGTATAAAAGCAGAGTTAGAAAACAGAAAGAAAGAGTCAAGAAAGAGTACAAAGAAAGAGTGAGAGAGAATGAAGAACAAAGAGGGAGAGAAAGAATAAAAAGAAAGAGAGAGAAAGCAGAAAAAGAGAGAGATAGAAGAACAAGAGAGGTACATTAACAGAAGAAAAAGAGGAAGAGTGAAAGAAGCAAAAGAAAGACAAAGAAGAAAAAGAGAGAGAGGAAAGATAAAGGGAGAGAAAGAATAAAGCGAGAGAGAAAGAAATAAAAGATGGTGGGAAAGAAGAAAAAGAGAGAGAACGATGAAAAAGAGAGAGAGAAATAAGAAAAAGGGAGAGAAAGAATAAAAAAGATGCTGTGATAAAGAAGACACATGGAGAGAGAGAGACAAAAAAGAAGAAAAATTGAGAAAGAAGAGAGAGAGAAAGAAGACAAAGTCAGAGAGACAAAGAAAAAAAGAGTGAGAAAGAAGAATAAGATAGTGATGGATGAAAAAGAGAAAGAAGGAAGAGAGTTAGAAGAAAAGGTGAGAGAGAGGAAGTAGAAATAGTGAGAGAGAAAAAGAAGATTAAAGGGAGAACAAAGAATGAAAGTGAGAGTGAAGAAAAAGAGAGAGAATGTAGAAAAATAGACAAGGACAGAAGAAAGAGAGAGAGAAAGAAGAAAGAGAAAAAGTGAAAGAAGAAAGAGA